CTGCCAGCCTTGGGCATTTCTGAGCACTGTGGGCAGCCTTGGAGCATGAAGCAAACACCGACTGGCAGGTGGTAATATCAGGGCTCCAGAAACTCCCACCTTGCAGGGAGAAACGTGGGTCCCAGCTGGAATTACCCAATTTCACTCCATTTTCACCTGATGTTTATTTACCTCCTTCCCCATCACATCCTCAGCCCTGGGGACTGACCCCAAGAAAAAGCTTTCACTTCTGGCCATTAACTTCTGTGTTGTGATTTTAAGCCCCACCAAGACATCTCCACATATTTCAGCCCAGACTAAAACTGCAGCTGCTTCTTGTTTCATTCTTGTTTAATTTCTGTCACGCTTCCTGTTGTCTGCTTGGAAGTGAATTGGTTGTCAGATGCTTCCCTAAATGGGCCCACCACAGAGACACCAACCCTTTCTGTTTGCAGGTTCCCAGCTCAAAACCAGCAAAGGTTTAGGAGCTAAAACCAAAAAGCTTACAAGCAATTTTTCCTTCCCACACAAACACTTCTGATAGCCTGAAAGGTACCTGTTATTTCCTGAAGTGAGTGTGTGTAGATGTGATGTCAGGCAGGCAGCTGGAGTCAGACCTCCTGCACAGCCTGTCAGAAACAAGGGGTAAATATGATGTCCCACATCTGAAAATCAACTTCACAAAAAATATGCAGTAAATGATACATGATAAGGGGGAAGGAAATGCCAGCTGCCTTAATGAGCAGTGCTAGGCAAAGCTGGAAAAATAAATTATATAATAATCTCCTATTATATTCCCTTTCACATAAACTAATCTTGACCCACAACAGTGTTACTTTCCAAGAGAAAATACCCAAGCTGTGGCCATAATGATGGCACAGGAGTCCAACACAAAGTGGTTTGTGCTTTCTCTTTGCCGTTAAAATTTTGCTTCAGCTGGTACATTCTGTGGAAAAGGCAGGAACAGGGTGAGCAACTTCCAGCTGAGGCAGGAAGAAATGCTGAGTGCTGCCTCGTGGGGGCTGGGAAGAAGCTCCTGAACTTCAGCTCCATGTATTTGCTTTCTGAAGACCCAAGGAGCACACGCAATGTCCCGGGAGAGCAGGAGGGTACTTGGGTTTCACTTCAGGCCCCGACTCACTGCACAGCCCAGAACGCAGCCAGACACTGACTTTTGGACTGGTGGGCACTTCCAGCCATTCCTTAGGGATGAACCAAGGCTAGGGCTGTGTTTCTGTTGGGAGAATGCACAAGTTATTAGTTTTGATGGGTTTCTGAGAAGCTTCCTTTTGCACCGCTCAGCTCTGCAATGGGGATGAAGAAAACAACAACAATCCAAATGGAAATCCTTGGAAATTATCCTCATCAAAAAGAGCAGACAGGTGGGGAACATCTTCTCTCTTAATTCCACAAGGCTGCTGTAAACAAGCCTGCTGCAAGGGTCTCCCCTAGGTCCTCTCCTAGGAAAGGGAGATGTAAGAACTGGCTCTACCAAGAGTGCAGTCAGGCCCTACCTAAATATAGTTATGGCAGAACCTGCACACTTTGTGGGCTCGTGTGTCCCTTCCACACCTCTGTCCATTCCTGCCTTTCCCACCTGGAGCTGTCAAAGCTCCTTCATCAGGTGAGAAGCTTGCAGGTTAAGGATGCAAGCTCTGGATGCCATGGCCATGCAGAAGTGTGTGTGTGTCTGTGAGCAGGGCTCAGCCTGGCTCACTCCTAAGAGTTCAGCTAAGAAGCTTCCACAGAACTCAGCTACAGCTTTGGGGGCTTGCTTGGGATTTGCCATCTTTGAAAGTCAAAAGACTACTCTGCACCTTATAAATCTTTCCATCATCTCTTAGTGCATAAGATACAGAGGCTTAAAACTGTGGCTGAATGGAAGAGAAGTAAAAAGTGCTCTCACAAGATGTGTGGTAGAGGCATGTTCTTTATTTCTGTGTCTTTATTCATCAAAATGCAATGCATACTTTGCTATACATTATTATACATGGTTTTTATACTGTGATAAATGACATTAAAATATCAAACAGAAAACCTCAGAAAAAGCCAGACTGGTTGAGACCAGTGGTTCAACCAGTATCCTGTCTCCAGCACTGGCTGGTATCAGATGCTGTAGATAAAAGTAGAAGAAACCGTATAGTAGCCTGTTATGAATTAACATGCCCAGGAGAGAAGTTTCTTCCTGACCCTCATCAGTTAGTGGTTGACTTCTATGCCAAAGCATACATTGCTATACATGCTCACGTATTTATATCTATCTATACCAAGAAGCATGTGACCAAATGCTAAATCAGCCTCCTGGTACATTCACTTACAGGAAAGTCATTCAGAGGGAGGAATTTTCTTCACCACATGAGGCTCATGCAGCAGAGAACTGGGAGGGGGAAAGGCAGCTGGGATTCACAGTAAGGGAAACTACTTTTACAAAGAGCACCTGAAATTGGCACCTTTTGAAGGTATTTTGGGGATTTTGATTACATCAGTAGTATCTCATCTATCTGAGTAGCTTTACCCACGTAGTTAAGTGAATATTCACGTGTGTGTAAGTACCTGTAAGTGAATATTCACGTGTGTAAGGACCTGTAAAGTGGCCCGTGAGGCAGATTTCAAGGTGGACGTTTTTTGCTGAAAATCCTAAGGGTTGGAGGTTCAAGGCTGGCCATTCTGCATCACTCCTGAGAGCTGCTCTCTCCAAAGGGCTCCTGAGAGCCACCACCACTGAGATTACACACCCCACAGATCCATGGATGCTTCACCTTCTTTACAAAAGTCTCTCCTGATTAACTTCAGTCTCTTTAGCTTCAGTTTAAACCCATGTTTTCCTGTCCTACCCACCAGATGTAGGCAACAGATTATCCTTCTCTCTTGAATTGGGTTTTTTTGTGTTTGAGAATTTCTTTGTTTTCTAACCCCTTTTTGGACTGAAACATCTTCAGTTATTTCCCTATGTCCTCACTTGCATGTTTTCTAGACCTCTGGATTCTCTTCAGATTGTTCCATGTCTTTCCCAACACTGAATCAAGTCACCCAGCCAAGATCTTTCAAAGACAGAGGAGTGTGGAAGGATTACTTCACATGTCTTGAAGGTTATATTCTGTTTTATACAATCTGGATGCTTATCTATTTTCCTACGTTCCTTTCCATTTTTTCAGACTCTTTCCCCAACCCCAGCCAGTGCTCAAATCCAGGATACAATAATGTGTTTTCTACTGCAGTTAGAGATGGATGCTGCTGATGATTCAGCATATAAAAGGCTAATTAATGAGCTTTGGAATAATAGTCTCCCCCACGCTTCTTAGTATGCTTGGTTTTACCTAAAGGGATCATATTTATCCAAAGATAAGTGCTAAAAAAAGAGAAATGCAAGATACTTTAAGATCACGCAGCACTACTACTGTATGGAGTAAATTTCAGGGGAAAAAAAAGATTCAGCATTTTATTTTTCTTCATTTAACGTGATGAGCTCATAAAACCTTCTCATTAGGCAGGATGATGTGAATGGCTCGTCAGACCTAATTTTAGCAGCCCCAAGTTAGCCAGCATTTCCACAACACTCATCTCAGCTCCTTCCACAAGAAATGGAGGAGGATGAACATTTCCAGGATGAGCACATCCTATTGCTGTCAGCTCCCTAAAAAGCCAGAGTGAGATGGAATGAACTTCCCTGTGAAGACAGAACAATTCCAGTAACCACAGAAAGCCTCAACCAGTAGGCAACCAATTACCTGATGGCTGAGGTCAGGTGAGATAAATCCCATTTTAGGCAAAAACAAATTCAGAGAGGATTATTTTCACATTAGCATGAGAATTAAACACAATGCAAATTAACTGTAATCATCAGGTTGGGGGGGGAGCATGATGAGATATTGCTTAGTGAATAATTGCAGAGATGTGCAGAGCATGGAAATTCCATGTCACAGACCACTTGAAAACTCGAACATTTTACTTTTTTCCAAATTGAGCTGAGAGCTGATTCTGTTGAATTTCTCTGTGAAGGATCATTTCTACCCAGTCATTTCAGATTAATAACAATATTTAATTTTGACAAAATCATGTGGTTTGATCTCCAGACTGATCTTTGTCTTTTTAAAGAAGCATAATATACTAAAAAGAAAAGCATGGCTGACATTCTGAAATGGAAGAGATTTCAAATATTGCACAGCTCACTCTAGAAACATGATCTCTCTGAGGCTCAACCTGATGCTGCTGATTTTTGTTTCAAACTCAAGGTTTCATTTTTATTTCTGATCAGTGCAAAAGAACCAGACTGGCCAGCCCTCCAAGCTGTCAGAGCCACCCAACAACATCTCCATGCAGCCCCACACCAGCTGCCACACCTCAAGCTGCTGAGGGACCAGCACTTCTGGAAATGGCTCACGACTAGGAAATGAGAAAAGCTCCTCCGGATCCCACTGTGGATCCCAGAGGACTAGGCAGGGTGTAAGCAGATTTCCAAAGCTACCCAGTAATACCAGGTTCTGTTATTCTTTCCAGTTCTCCTACAAAAAACAGCCCCTATGTGACCCCAGGATGGGAGCTTCATTTGAAAAGCTAGAGAGGGGCAGTTGTAACAACAAACAAACAAACAAACTTTGTCTTGATTGTGGGGAAGTTTTAGAGCCTCCCAGAGGGACTGGGACCTGTCCTTCCAAATAAATTAGGCAGCTTTGAAAAACCTGACCTAGGGTGCACACTGCCTTCTTTTTGTTCCCTGTTCACTATCTCTGGGCATGTCCAACTTTGGTCCATGCAGGCTAATCAAGTTTACAGCAACTTGCTCAAGTGCAGTAGCTGTCTAGTCAACCCCACTGTAAGTGGGTGTTTTGTGCCAGTGCTGTCACTGATATCCACCCTAACCCGTGTGAAGCTCCTTCTAGCAGCTCAGCAGTGTATTCCAGTGTGGGCATGCTGGCAGGGATGTTTAGATTATAAATCCTTGTGCACACGAGTTCATTGTTTAGATTCTAAAAGCTACACTGGGATAATGAGTTGGAAGTGATTTTAATTGGAGGAAAAAGCTAGATTTGGGACTCTATTGATAACCTGCTTAAGGTCAAAGCTGCTTTCCGATAAGAAATTTCTCCAGAAGGCTGATTGACAGCTGGCAAGGGCTCTTCTGGATCTTCACAACTGGTGATAAGGGCCACTGCATTAAATGACTTTTGGTTAGTGCTGAATGACTTGATCTCCAGTGCTGACTTCTCTGCTTCTTTATCCCGTGTCTTCTCGGCTCGGTTCCACTCCTGCTCCTTCCGATCCAGCTGCATGGCACTGCAGTGAGGAGCATAAACCTCTGTGGTTTCCTCAAACTGCAAGCAATCCACCTTATAGTATTTTTTCTTTACGTGTAGGATGTCATTAAACCTATGGCCCCAAAGAATCTCCCTGGGGACATACGAGCTTCTTGACTGATGTGAAGTTCCTGTTGAATCACCTGTGTAGACAAAAGTGACCAAGATTTCAAAGTTGTCCTTGGCCAGAGCTTTCCGGTCTAAGCCATACAAGGGGCTCTCACTATCAATTTCATGCACGACTGTCACGGGGGTAACAAGTATGATCTGGTCATTTAGCAACTTCAAGTCCTTGTATTCCATTGTCATTCTGCCCTCCTTGTCCTCCCTGTAGCGCAGCAGCTGGGCTCTCACAGAGCCCTCCACCATGTGGTTGGGCCGGAAGTCCCCGATGCGCCACATGAGGCAGAATTTGTCATCCCTCAGGCCCACCACGGCGTAGTAGCTGAACCGAATGGTTTGAGCTCTTTTTCGAGCTGTGGCCATTTTAGCCAAGGCTGCTCCAATGATGAAGGTGTCAATTATGCAGCTCAAGACTGACTGCAGGATGACCATGAGGATTGCAACAGAACACTCTTCTGTAACACAGCGGTAACCGTAACCGATGGTCGTTTGGGTTTCAAGGGAGAACAGGAATGCTCCTGTGAAGCTGTGGACATTGGCAACACAGGGGGTTATATCTTCATCATCGAATAAATCTCCATGTTGGATAGCTATCAGCCAGAAGACGAGTCCAAAGAACAACCATGAGAGAACATAGGACAAGGAGAATATCACAAACATGTGGCGCCACTTGATGTCCACCAGTGTGGTAAATATGTCCACTACGTAGCTCTCCCATTCCCCAAAGATGTGCTTGAAGTACACATTGCAGCTGCCATCTTTGTGGAGGAATCTCTTCTGCAATCTTTTCATCCCCATTTCAGGGCTTTCTTGACCAGTGCCTTTGTAACTGAACTTATTTCCCTGTATGTTTACAGGCCTATAGCAACCACTCTGCTCAGTCATCGTTCTCATCTCTGCCTTGTAACATCAGTTTAGAGAACACACTTCTGGTCCCAGGGACTATTTGGGTTTTTTATTCATTGGAAATCTATGAAATAAAAGAAAAAGTTATTTTGTTTAAATTTCCTCTGCCAGAACCCAGTAATGCCAAATTTAAATACATTCACTCTGTGGCCATCATGAGCAATCTTCTAAAGAGTACAGACTCTGACATTCATTACACAACATAGCTCAAAAACATAGGCCTGGAAATATGAGGCAGCTAAAAATGCAACCACTCAGAAATGTCCATATCAATCCTAAAATTTGGTAGGTAGGTGAAAACAGAAACCCAAAACTCTGATGGTGACCCCACTGTGAGTAGGTCTTCTAATGTTCTGGTGAAGTAACATTCCAATCAGGGTGGGCTCTTATGAGCAGTCACAGGAATGGCATGAACACACTGAAAAGTAGCCAGATATTTGAGGTAGTTAATTATTTTTTTGCTGCATGTTTGTTTGGTTTCCTCCATTAGAAGAATTGCCCAGGAAAACACCCTCATTTCCACATCAGACTTCAGTAGCCTGGGCAGGCAAGTTCAGTGCCAATGTGTTTTAACCAGAAAATGTATCAACCACACAATCATTCATCATTATTTGTGTTTCAGTAGTGCCCAGAAAAACCTGGTCTTGGAGTTGAACTTTACTGGGCGACTGCTACAGAGACATATTTGTTCAATTTGTAGAAAAGTATTTACATTTCAAATGAAAAAGAAACCTCTCTGAGGTCCTGGAAACCCTCACAAATCATTCCTTAAACAAAAAAAAAATCCAGCTGCCAGAAAGTATTGAAATTTTTATTAATGAGTATGAAAGAAACATGCAGCATGTTAATAAAATGTGGGGATGCCACAAATTTAGGAAGTGATGTGAATTAGGAGACGACTCTGTCAGATCTGAAGAAAGCTGGATGTCTTTGCAGACTGCAAACATTGGAACTTCAGCAGCATGAGGTGCTAGGGTATAGGTTTAGTGACTAATAACAAGAACTTATGTTAGAAACTGAGATCTCATCAACAGGAATCCAATAAAAAAGGAAAGACTTAGCTGAGGTAATCATTTACAGGATGCTTTGGAATTACTTGTAGGACACAGCACTGGAAAAGGCAAATGCCTTTTCCTGCAGGTCTCCAGCTCATTCTACCATATCCCAAGTGCTAACACTCAACACACTGACAAGTCAGAAGTGACAGGGTACACAGCTAGAACAATTCCCAGTTTTTGCCAAATGTCATGCTTTCAACTGATGTTTCTGAAGGGAGAAAAAAAAAAAGTTAATGATTTTGAGGAAAAACTGTCATTATGCTTTCAAAAATTGTAAGTTTTCAATGGAAAAATGACAAGTACTTTTCCCAGTTCTAAGCTGGTTTCAGCTGATGAAAGTTCAAAGGCAGGTTTACAATGAAGCCAACATATTCATGGAAAATGAACTTGAAAAAAAAGTTTCCAAGTGGTAGCCTGTTTCCTCAGCTCCTCATTCCCCTTGCCTGAGTCTAAATGACTGCACACACTTCCAGGCAGAAGAGACTCACGGCCATAGAGTGTAATATATATTGGGTGGACTAGATTAACAGACCAAAAACTCTTCTCCCATCCAAGGAACAATGACAAGCATGCACAGACACTATTCCAAAAACACTTAAAAGCCAAACATAGTTTCCATTTCTTTTTTTCTTTTCTTTCTTTTTTTTTTTTGTTTTGTTTGGTTTTTGTTTTGTTTTTCAGTACAGAAATGAATGTGACATATGGTGTCGTAGCCTCAGAATGTGGCCCTCATTACAAAACACAACATTAATGTTTCCAAAAATACTTATTGGAATAGAGTCTTTGGAAACATTCATATGACTTGCTTTACTCATAGCTTTAAACAAACTGTGCAGCCTAGTCTATCGAAGACTTTTGACCTAACATTTTATAAGTCATATTTAACAACAAACAACAATTGGAAACTGTTGAGTTATTTTTTTAAGAACCTCATAATGTGAGGTGTGAAAATGAAACAAACTGTAATCAGGAGCCAATATAATCTGAAATACAAAACATACTTAGGCTTATATAGTTTTTTCTTATTGACACAAATCACAGTTCCTTGAAAATACTCTCAATCAACCTGGGACTCTAAAAGGGACTAAACAGTTCATGAATCAAACACTACTGAGTTTATTCCACTTTCTGCTGTTGCCATCAGCAAATCATCGTATCTTTAAATGGTGTTTTGCTGCCACAACCTTTAGATTTTGTTGGTGCTGGCAAAAATCACAGGCATGCAGCTCTGTGACAAAGTCCACTCTGATTTTACAGAGGAGACAACTTTGATTGTGAGGCACCTTGCACCAGGAGCTCTGACTCTACCTGTAGTAATACACCTACACTCCTGGAGGTCTGTGGTGTGTTTTTGACTGGTATGACTAAAGCCATGTATTAAGACACTAGATTGCATTTTGCAAAGCAATTAGAAGTATGTCTGCAACACCAAAAGGAACGTGATGCAGAGCTTCCTAAACCAGAACCAAATCATCTAGCCCTGGAGCTGGCTGGAATAAAAAAGAATCAGTGCAGAGCAACACTAACAGACATATATTGCTCTCAGATCTGAGTTCATCTTTCTCTGTCGTGTTGAAAATTTAATTGCTCAGAGCCATTTGGCGTGGCACAGTGGAGATGTGCCCCAGATGACCTAAAATCCCAAATGTGCTTGGAAGTCAGAGGAAATAGCCTCCTCAGCCATTCAGAAACATTTAAAAATGCTGCCCAGTATTTTGGGTGTGCTTAAAGGCAAGCCAAGGCTGAACTTTTCCAGGCTGCATCTTGGAGTCTCTCGAGTGTAATAATAACCATGCATCATAATTAATAACTCTTTTATATTGTCTGATGTTGCTCAGAACATTTAAGCCTAAAAATCCATCCTTCAGTGTTTCTGAATTATGTAAGTCTGTCTTACATTCTGCACTCCATTCATGGGGACATTTTGAAACAGGCACGTGATTTTCCTATTCCAAATGAGAGGCTGTGAAGCCAGATGTTCATGGCTCACTCTTCAGAGACATGTTGCCTTTCTCAGCACAGTCTGAAGAGCATTATTATTATTATTATTATTATTATTACCACCACCAAATTTTAAAGAGGAGAAGACCACAGACTCCTGAACTTTAGTCTTAGAGCCATTTCCAAAATCTTACTTTTCAAAGTGGAAATACTTTACACATCCCTAAGCAAGCCATACGAATTACATTAAAGGTCCTACTACCTGGTAAAGATTAACAAAGGGGGTGGGGGAGGATTTGAAAACATTCTCCACTCACTAAGGCTCATGGATCCGTTGCTGCAAATGATTCTCAGATGTTGCCAGGAAGCATTTTCACCTTCCTCTAACACTAATACACAAACCCTTGCCCTATTTTGTCTTGCTTTTACTTTCCATGTTGTTGTGGGTTTTTTTTCCCTTTATTTCTGGGCGTATTTGTACACATCATGAGCCTCCTCTTGCATGTCATTCTGTTGTTGGAAGGAGGAAGTGTGCTGAAATGGGCAGTGCTTTTGCTAACCATTCTTATAAATGTATTTCCCACCCAAATAAAAAGTTTATCAAAGATAAAAACGGAGCAGTGAAGCCAGGCAGGAGAGCAGGAAGACAGAAATAGAGAAATCTCAAAGATTTAAATAGTGCAAATGGCAAAGTGGGTTCAGAAGTTCTGAACTATAAATATGCCAGACTCAGAGTCCAGAAAATCAGCTTATATTCTTAATTATCTAAGTCAAGGCTGGGATTTTACTGTGTTGGATACTGAAACATGCTGAGGGAGATGACTGCTCTAGAGACTTGTGTTCATAGCATCTGCATATTGACCCCCTAAACTGGTATATTTGGAAATGTCACCCCAATTAGATGTGGGAGAAAGGCAAGTAAATTCCTGTATTTCAAAGGTCCAAAAGCAGTGCAGTGGGTGTTCCACCCAGCACCCACCTATACCCAGTGAAGAGCTACCACAAGGCAAACACTAGCAGAAACAAGCCTTTTTATTGTGTTTATCATCCTCACCTAGTTCCTCTTGAGCAGAACTTGGACTCCTGATTTTCATCAGCTCACTCAGAACAGTAACATAAAGCCTTAAGCAATGAGTTTAGCCTTTTAAAGACTTCTACTAAATGTAATTGGCAATTTAATCTTGATATTTTGAGCTTAGGGCTCGGTGTTCTATGACAATAATCCCTATATTGTACCTTAACCTAATGCCTACTGAGTTGTTGCTACACCCATTTTATGACTGTATTTTCCATTATGTAAACAAGTTGGGGTGAATTTTTATTCAGTGACAACTTCAGTCAACAGCCTGTTTGTAAAACATTAGGCAAAACAATGTGAAGATCCTGGTTCCAGAATAATTCTGTTCTGAGATTAAATCAAAAAGAAAACAACTCAAAACCTCCACATGAAATTGGGTACTCTAACCCCACACACATGGAAGTAGATGTCTCTGCCTTTAGTGCTGGTTTAGCAATCACCTCAGTTTCCTGCTTCACTTTGGAAATGGTCTGAATGGTTTCCAATTTTAGTCATTGTTGTGCAACCCTGGAAGACTTTCAGCTCAGAGACCAGAAATGTGACAAGTAGAAATCTTTTGTGCTGCTTCAGAATTGACTCAAATACTTGTTCCTTAAAAAAAAAACAACAACAACCCACCACACACAAAATCTAAATTAATCTTTTATAGGACAGCACTGAAACTCTTCATTCCTTCCTTCTTTTCCTCTTCTTCTTTGCAAAGGGACCTAACTTCTCCTAACACTTACAGCCAGTCTTTCTGCTGCTGGTACACCCTCCCCAGAGCAAGGCTAGCACAGACCAGGTGTCACCATCTGTGTATGTCACTGTCATCCAAGCTCTGTGCCTCTAGGATAAGAAAGGTGAAGAGGCACAGGGCTGTACTGCTGGTGGCACTGCAGTCAGCTCCTGCAGCCCCAGGCACTTCAGTG